AGACGAATCTTATTACTTGAAAATAAACAAAGAATTAACATGGATATGAGCTGCTATTTTCAGAGAAACATTTGTAAAAAATAAAATAAAAATTCAAGCAGAAGCATAAATGTCAAATTCTGTTATGCGATCAATGTGAAATTTTAGAGAGTTATCTATTGAGCGATGTTCATTTACCTACTGTTACCCTAGCTGCTTCAAGCTCCTTTGCAAGGGCAGCTGATAGAACCAGTACACATTGATATAGTGTCAAAACTGACTTCTGTTTTTTTGTTTTTTTATTTATTTTTTAAAGAAAAGGGAATCCAACAACAAGATAAAGGAAAATGATATACAATAGCACTACTCTAAGATAAGTAGAAGTATCTCAAATTCAAAAATAATTACATTCTATTCTTAAGTTTAAAAGCTAATCTCATACAGGCCTTGCTAGTCTCATAGCATGTTATGTAACTTAATTATACTTGACCCTCCAAACTTCTCATGTTTTACTCATAAGTTTTGCTAAGACTTCAAATACCACTCATAAATTCATCTACAATGACGTGTGACAGTGACTGTTGTTTGATTCTTGAACAAATCAATAATTAATCCGTAACCATCCGCATCACTTAGGTTAAACTTAGGAATGAGATTTTAGGGATCTCAATCTTTTAAGGATTGAAAGAAAGCCATACCTTAGTCTTATTCGCATTTCTTGAGAGCGATATTTGGGATGGAAGCTTTCGGAATCAACACCCTTATTCCAGAGACAAATCTTGTTACCTGAAAATAAACAAAGAAGTAACATGGATATGAGCTGCTATTTTCAGAGAAACATTTGAAAAAAATAAAATAAAAATTCAAGCAGAAGCATAAATGTCAAATTCTGTTATGTGATCAATGTGATATTTCAGAGAGTTATCTATTGGGTGATGTTCATTTACCTGCTGTTACCCTAGCTGCTTCAAGCTCCTTTGCAAGGGGAGCTGATGGAACCAGTGTAAGATCAGCTGCCCTATGAAGAAACTCTGTTAAGAAAAGAACAAAACTTTCATTTATTAGTTCACAAACACGAAAAGTCAGAATCCATGTGAAATTGAGGCTAGAAACAAAAGTTCACGTACTTATGACCCACCACATAGGTTTGACCAGCCAACTAAAGGTGTATCTTGGTATGTATGTGCAAGTCAAAACAGGAATCGGGCTCAACCCTTGTGAGGTGGCAAGCACACAGTGCAATTCCCAAAGATGATATGAAAAAAATTTATTGATACAAAGAAATTTTGTTTGATAAAATTTGATATGTATCAGCAGATTTTATTTTATAACAAATCAAATGTTGATCAGAAATAAAAACTACATAGAGATTAAAGAGTGAACTTCGAAAGATGGCTAATTTTACAAACATAGTGTACATGAATTTACAGAGATACTGTGTTACTTCGCATCACAATCAAGATCAATATTCCCATAGAGAAAGCTCAAGCAATTCATCAGAAACTGTCAAAACCACAAACAATTAACTAAATTTTCAGCAATTAAAGCAACAATAGGGGGTTCGAAAATTCAGCCCACAACAAAACCTACTTGATTTGCAGAGAGAGAAACCAAATTACAAAATATTATTAAGGTTGCGTTGCGTTCGTTGGAATGATTTAGGCAAGAATGGAATGGCTATTCTCCTAAATTGGTGAATGGTGATTTCATTTCCCATGTAAATTCCTTTTTTTTTTTACTTAACCAAACATGAGAACAGATATTCCGATGGAATGAACCAAACTAAATAGGTACACAAAAGACCATCTAGGACTTTCATGCCATGTGGCAATTGAACCGTTACATCAATTGAACCATATCCTTATTCAGGCCATAACCAAGAGTTGAATAGGTCAATAAAGTTCAAACCCATCTCCCATAACTCAAAAAATCACAAACTTTAATACACCAAAAAAAAAATAATAATAAAAATAAAATCTTGCATCGAACAAATAAGTACTGCATATAATTACATAAACCATATTCATGTCCTTACCTTCTGTTTGAGTCTCAGATTTCTCTTTGCAAGAACTGAATGCTCCAAAACAACTCATCTCTTTCACTCACAAACACTTCTGATAGGGACTAAAAAAGCTTAGCTTGTAATCACATCTTCTCTTCAATCCAACACTTACCCAATTTTCCAACCACACAAACACTTACCTAATTAGTCACCAAAAGACACATCATTGACAATAACACCAAAACCCACATCGATCAAATCAAATCAATACCAAACCTGTGTTTTTCGAAGCGATTTCAATCGAATCGCGTTACGCAACAGAATTGGGAAGGACCCATTGGGTGGCTCATCACCATCTTCTGAAAATCCTCCCTCTTGATTGGGTTTCTAAACAAATAAACAACCAACTAATAGGGGTGGAATCTAAATCAACACTCAAAAAAATAAAAAATAAAAAATCTAATTTGACAACAAATTTGTTTAAAACAGAATTGGAAACCATACCTATCCATTGGTTTACCAAGGAAACTCATAAAATGCAATACATCTTTTGGTACATTTCCGTTGCTTGCCACATTGTGGATGATTTTCTCGATAATTTCCTTCAATTTAGAAAAATCATCTTTGAATGATGCCTTATTACCACGAACTAATTTAACATCAGTGAATTTCACGTCCAAGCCTTCACTTAGCATAATATTCTGAGTATTTAATTGGCCACAGACATAAAACTGCTCATGTATGCTTTTGAAACTCTTTAAAATACCCCTGCATTAAGAAATATTAAAAAGTAACTTCACGAATTAGAATGATGTTAAGAGCAAATGAAGAGAAGAAGAAGAGGAAGATGATACACATGACACCAACCCAATAATTGTTCTAACTTCTTGAGTCAAACGCCACTGAGTGCATTGGATATTTGGACCTGGTAGCACTTGAGTCTCCAGAATTTTAGATTGGTTAATTTGAAGCCATTCCTAAAGCGTCCATGGAAAGTTAATCTAAACCAAAATGATTATGAGTTAGCAATAGAGTTTCCTATTCTCTACTATCAAAACAAACAAAACTATCAAAGTTTAAAAGAGATAAATCACTTGGAATTAGAAGGAATGAAATTTGAAATCGTATAGTTTCCCATACGATTGTTAAATAAAAAATAAAAATAAAAAGTTCATACCTAGGACCTTTACCACTTTGGATGACGCTTCAAAATAAACTTAGAATAACTCCGTTAATTATGGTAAGGTCTTTTTAACGTGGAAAGTGTTGAAACTTAGAGATGCGGATAGGCATGATTCAGGATGGTCTCTTGTATGTTCTGGGGTATACCTTTAGAATCTGTACAGGATTTTGTAAGATCTCATCTTACTCAGCAGAAAAATGTCTCTCAAAAGCTGCTTTCAAATATTTGCAGACAATACTAAAGTAAATTATCATTTCCTTGGATCTAGGCCTCATTGATGCTAATGGTGGTTACTGAAACGTGTAAATTAACCAAGCCAAATAAACATGTCTCTCATTACCGATCAGTATGTTTCACAATGGAATATACATAATTAACTTTTCTCTAAAAAAAATTGAAATGCATTTCTTTATCACATGGTTATTTCGAGAAGGGTAAAGCAAAAATATCATATGTACAATGTTACAAAAGACACACCATCTAACATTTCGAAATAAGAGAAGAAATTTCAAACAATTCAGCTACATGTACATTGGAATTAAGCAATGCATAAGTATGACAGCTGGATTCATGCCAACACTTTCCTATCAATTTTTTTTTTCTCAACAAAGTATTCAAAGCACATTTGCCAGAAGAGTATGCTTCAGTGTTTTTCACCTATATTTCTTCTGCTTTTTCTTTTCCAGATTGGTTGTAACATAGTCCAAAGCATGAAGTAAAAACCTTATGCTTAAATCGGTATCCAAACCTGAGTTCCCTAAAAACAAACTATGGAAAAAGCTCCTTCAGGTAGGAAAGCAAACAAACTAAGTTGAGCCAAAGCCTCAATTACCATGGCAAGCATTTCAACTATGTGAAAACTAAAAAATACAACGCAAGCTTGACAAAGGAAGCAGCTGATGGGCTAATGATCCCAATAGGCCGGCTCAATTAATTCAGCAATGTTACTTCATCCATCTACTTGCCAAGGTCTTATTATAGTTTAACTTTAGCAAAGTTTAGACAAACCGTATAGACATATAGACAAACCATATAGAATGATTAAAAAATACGCCCAAAAATGTTAGATGGATTGAAAAATATTAAAACAAAGAACTGAAGTAGGATTCTCAAATTTGAAGCACAAAAACAGACAGAACAACCAAAAAAAAAAAAAAAAAAAAAAAAACAGAGAGAGAGAGAGAGAGAAGAGGAGAGACAGAAACATTGAAACAATTCTCAATTCTCTTACCCTGTGCATGTGAGTTCGAAGGGAGCCAAGTTCGAGAGCAGCGACGGTGATGATGAGCAGCGGCAGTATATACCCTTTCTCTATTGGTTGAGAGAGAGAGAGGATTATACAGATTTTTGCGATCGGAGAAGTATCAATCGACGTAAAGGATGAAGAAGGGGAAAGGTAAGAACACCTTCGGATGAAGAACTGAAGGAGTATTGAATGATCCTTGAGACTATTAGCACCGTCGTTTGCTCTGTCGCTTCTATTTCTTCGGATGAAGAACTGAAGGATGATCGCATATGTGGAAAAGAGAACACCTTCTATTTCTTTTTGATTTTGAAGAAAGAACGTGTTTGGGTAGATGTGGGAGAGAGAGAGAGCAAAAGTGTTTGGGCAAGAAAATATTTGATCTCAACCATTACATATTGTTTAGAAATCATCTCAACCGTCCAAATGAATTGTATCTCTTACACATTTTAACACATTTTTAAGATCGTTCTGCTTTATAAGATAGATTTTAACATATTTTTTAACTATCCACTGTAAACGCTCTTATAAGGGACAAGATTTGCCAAAAATATAATAATGTCTAATGGGCAAGAAAAGGATAAAACAAAACCTCAGAGATAAAGTACCGAATCGGTACAGAGGAAATACCCCCCACATCTTCAACAGAGAAGAATTACGAAAAGTCGCGCCGATCAGACAACATGATCCTCTGTAAAAAGACCAAACTATCCTCCGTCTCGTTCTTCAATAACATTCCACAAACTCTCTTCTCACACAGTTCAGCCCATTTTAGTACTCTCTCTCTCTCTCTCTCTCTCTACAATGTCGAAGTCATCGACGGCGACGACGATGTCCACGTCGGCGATCAAGCCGGAGGTCTACAAGCACAGCCCAGTCCACTACGCCGTCGCACTAGGTGATCACACCACCCTCTCTCGAATTGTCTCATCCTTGCCCAGACTCGCCGATCCAACTCAGATTCACACCGAGTCGGACTCGCTAGCCCAGGAGCGAGTCTCCGACCAGATCTCCGCCGTGCTCGACCGCCGCGACAATCCTCACCGTGAAACTCCCCTCCACCTCGCTGTCCGTCTCAACGACGTATTCGCCGCCCGCACTCTCGCCGGCTCCGGCGCCGATATCTCCCTCCAAAACGCCGCCGGTTGGAACGCCTTGCAGGAGGCGATGTGTCGCCGGTGCTCCGATGTCGCGGTGGTGCTCCTCCAGTATCAGCACCGTGCCGCCTGGTCGAAGTGGCGCCGGCGATTGCCTCGGTTAATCGCTGTTCTTCGCAGAATGCGAGATTTCTATATGGAGATTTCGTTTCATTTCGAGAGTTCGATCGTTCCTTTCGTAGGCAAGATCGCTCCCTCCGATACGTACAAGATCTGGAAACGAGATGGAAATCTCCGAGCCGATACGTCTCTCGCTGGTTTCGATGGTATGAAAGTTCAACGCGCTGATCAGAGCTTCCTCTTTCTTGGCGATGGTGAGCCTTCTCTCGACATTCCGTCTGGTTCTCTTCTAGTTCTCAACCACGACGATCGGAGAACCTTCGACGCCTTCGAGAACGCCGAAGCTCCGCTCAGCGATTCCGACATCGCTGGATTTTGTGCTCAGACGAGCGTTTATCGTCCCGGAATGGACGTCACGAATGCAGAACTCGTCGGAAGAACGAACTGGAGAAGACAAGAGAAAACAGAGAGCGTTGGAGAATGGAAAGCTAGGGTTTACGAAGTCCACAACGTTCTCTTCAGTTACAGATCTCGCAAAATCGTCAATGGCGATTCTGACATTGCAGGTTGCGAGCAAGTTCTGCCTCTAGAACTCGAAGAAGACGCTGAAGAAGGCTTTCTCGTAGCCGAAAATCCTCAATTCGCGTTTTCCTCTGATAATCGTCGCCGCCATAGCAGCTTCGTTCGGGAGGACAGGGATTTTGTTCCGATGTCAAGGAAAAGCGTAGATGTTCCGTCTTTGGCAATGCCGAATCGGCGTAAACCGCCGTCTGCGGCGGCGACGGCGGTGGTGCCTCCGCAGACGAAGGAGAAGGAGTACGTGAAAAGTCTACGGCCGTCAATTTGGTTAACGGAACAGTTTCCATTGAAGAAGGAAGAGTTGCTTCCATTACTCGACATTCTAGCGAACAAAGTGAAGGCCGTTAGACGAATGAGAGAGCTTCTCACCACGAAGTTCCCTCCGGCGACTTTTCCGGTCAAGGTGAGGGGCAAAATCGGTAACTTGGCTAATTTAAACGCTAAATTTTTTTATTTGATTTAAATCATATGTATTTTAAGAAATTTAATTCAATGAAAAAATATTTTAAATATTTTATATAAATTAAATTTACATTAAATTTGATAATTAAATATTATTTCTTGATCAGTTTTTAATTAATAAAAATATTAAAATATTAAAATATATTTTTAAAAAAATAAAAATCAGGTACTGTGTATTTGTTTTCTTTTTTTTCTTTTGCTTTTTGCTTTTTCTTCTTTTAATGCTCTCAAGCAAAGGTTGCTTTGCTTGGGCAATGGTGACAGAGAGTCTGAGAAGAAGCTTTGTGGGTCCTCACATGGTCGGTGATGTGACGTGGAAGGATCGAAATATGGTCTTTTTTGATCCGACGGTCCTGATTCGTGGGTCCCATTTCCATCGGCCCCATCATATACCGTTAATCATCAAAATTGATGTTGTATTAGGGCCCACCTATTAATTGACTTTTTATTTATTTAAATATAAATTGATGTATGATTGTATTATGGATATTGATTAGGCTGTGGTTGTTTTTCGTGGTGGCATAGGTGGCGATTCCGGTGGTGCCAACGGTGAGGGTGGTGATCACATTCACCAAGTTTGTAGAGCTTCAATCAACTGAGCAATTCTACACACCATTGTCAAGTCCTAGACATTTTGGTTATGGCCGAGGAGGATCTGAAGAGGAGCCGGAGAGCAATTTCTCATCATTTTCTTCCACGTCAAGGTCTTCGACGTCGACAGCCTCAGCATGGCTGAGGCGGAGCACCAGCCGCTCGAGCTCTGCCAGTAAGCCACCTCTGCCGCCGCTGATACAACAAAATTGTATGGTGGTGCCGCCGCAATCGGATCCTTTTGCGATACCGAAAGTTTGTAGAGCTTCAATCAACCGAGCAATTCTACACACCATTGTCAAGTCCTAGACATTTTGGTTATGGCCGAGGAGGATCTGAAGAGGAACCGGAGAGCAATTACTCATCATTTTCTTCCACGTCAAGGTCTTCGACGTCGACAGCGTCAGCATGGCTGAGGCGGAGCACCAGCCGCTCGAGCTCTGCCAGTAAGCCACCTCTGCCGCCGCTGATACAACAAAATTGTATGGTGGTGCCGCCGCAATCGGATCCTTTTGCGATACCGAATGGGTACACATGGAGTAGTTTTGATGATAAGAGTCGGAAAATGATGAAGAAATCCAAGTCTATTAGGAAATCTAGATGAAGAAGGAAACAAAGAAATGATGTTCTTTCACATGATGAATTAGTTATTATGAGTTTGTTTGTAGATAAATTTACTAAGCAATATCAATCAAATTTGGCCATTTGAGGTTGAAAGGCAGAGAGATAGAGAGGGATTTGGTTGTTTGTGGACAAAGAAGTGGTTCACTAGTTTTGACTGCCAAATTTTGCTAGCATGGTTTGATTAGCAATTGTGGTATGGCATGGAATTAACTCACCCTCCAAACCTATTTAATTAGTGACATTTCAATTCTAAAAACAAATGTTATATCTTGACTAGTGAAAAGTATGTTGAAATTTTTGACCCACATAATAATTTTAGTATAATTACATTCCTATTTGTTTTAGTAAAGTTAAAATAATTGAGATTAATTCAAGAGGTGTGGTTCAGTGGTAAGATGTTGGGTTGTCTAAAGTTTGACTATCTCCATGATTAGTCATCCAAGCGACAACACATATCAATAGTAGGACAAACCTTCCAAACTTTGAGTGAACCATGTTCAAGAGTATGAATTTGAATTTTCACTTGTGTGTGAGTTTACAACTTACACTAACTATATGATTAAACGGTTTTGCAGTGTAGTATCACTTAAAGTGACCTCTGGGCCTTAGCTCTATTAAAATCTAGTTACAAAAATCACCACTATGTGGATAGTCTTCTTTTTAAAATAACTGAGATTAATGCAAATAATGTGAAGACAATCAAATAATAAAAAATTAAAAAAAATAGAGTGAAAGTGATGATAATATTATTACTTATATATATAACTAATGAATTATTAATTAAATGTTTAGTATGATATGAATTTAGATATTAAGAAAATCTAATTACAAAATGTTATTTTATTACATGTGTGGGTTGATCAGAGCACAAAATGGTATGTTCTTCTTCACGACAAATTTCAAATTTTCATTACAACTTGTTTTTTAAGGTCAAGTTCAACACCACTTGCAGAGATTATGATGATGGCAATTTACTTTGCGGCATTCAGAATCAATTATGGCAAATCCAAAATTCTTCAGTCAAAAAGTGGACAATTTTATATATAAGATGGTTTGGTAATTTTGGAAAAGTCTCCAAACCTGCAAGCACACAACTGGACAAATTTTTGTGGAAATTTATAGCATTTTGAACCCCCAACCATAAAAATACAATCACAAGTCAACTAATGGGCCATTGTAATTAACTATGTTCACATGGTTTCGGCCCAACCATCAAAAAGCATATTTGGACCATCTCCGATGGTTTATCATATTCATCACTAATATTAAATTTGAATTTAGTGAAAAAAGATAACTTTTTTGTCTCTAACAGTTTTATCAAAACGATATCAAATTGAGAATGATCCAAATTATTTACTAAATTGAGGATGTTGTGGGTCTTTCACTAAAACACTGTTCATTACCATTGTATTTTCACTACCGGATGACCTATAGGACGATCCCTTTTTGCAAAATTTTGTACAGATTTTACACTGGGAAGTCGACCACCTGGTCGACCCACGGGTCAACTCCCCGGATGACCCCTCGAGCTTGAAAATAAAATCTTGTTTAACTACAGAATTGACACAATAAGATGGGTGAACTTCTGTTTTCTTAGTTGATTGTTGTGCATTTTCAAGTGTTGAAGAAGCCAATTTTTCAGTTGACAATTCTGCACTTGGTAGTTGTGCTTGGACCTCATCACGAGCTTTGCCATTAAAATCCATCAAATGGGCTTGACTGCTTTTAGGTACTTGAATTTTTTTTTTTACTTTTTTTTCTTCCTACATTTCTGGGTTCCAAATCTGCTATCTTAATATGACTTGAATCCTCAGTTACTGGATTTTCAAGGTAGTCAAATCTAGGATTTCTATTTGATCTGGTTAAAGATCAGTGAGAATTGAGAAGAGCAGAAGAATAGATGGGTCTTTCAATGCATCTTTCACTATGGAAGCCAATTTCTCACTGTGCTGCTCTGATTATGGACAAGAAGACCAGAAAAAGAGATGGGTCTAACCATTCAACAAAAGAAATCAAGAGAAACCCATCATTTCTGAGGAAATTGCAAGAGCACAAGCTCAGGGAAGCTCTTGAAGGGAAACAAAATCAGAACAGAAATGGAGGGGGGAAAAATGTAAGTTTTCTAAACAACCTGTATATTAGATTGAATTAATTTGAACAAAGAATACATACATCATTTATATAGAGTACCACTAATTAATTCCTAACCCTACATGAATACATTACTGAGATATATAGAAGTCTAATAGCAAGAGCACAAGCTCAGGGAAGCTCTTGAAGGGAAACAAAATCGGAACAGAAATGGAGGGGGGGAAAAAAATTCAGTAGCGTAACCGATCGACCGGCCGGTCGTTCGGCCGGTCATCCCAAGGCATTTGATGCAAGCAACAGTGTTCACCGCTAAAGCAACTCGTATCAAATTGAAGAAAGAGCTTTTTTTTTCATCAGATTTGATGAAAAAAAATAGTTCACCGTTGGAGATACTCTTAGAAACTATGAAAGTCTAATATTATGTCTTTGTTAATAAGGCTAAAAATGAACTCAAGATTATGTGAAGTCCCAACATAGAAATGTGATAAATTTTTTGTTTGAGCACTCTGTCTAAACACTATGTTCAGATTATCGGATATTTTGTTCAACATGCTTTTTGATTATTTTGCTTAAATTTTTTATTAGACATTGTGCTCGACCCAATTTATTAAGTCAATATATTCAGTTGATAAATTAGGTCATTCTAATGGAGATAATCTTAGAGAACCTCACTGGTTTATTTAAATAATGCTGATCACACCTAAATATGGCACTATCCCACAAAAAATAAAACAACAATCCAAGTCAGCTATTGGACATGGAGGTGTCTATGCTTTATACTTTCCAGGGCTCAAGCACACAATATACCATCTCTAATACAAATTTTATTACTATATTCATGGAGATTATGCTGATTTAAGTATCAAATTCCTGTCAAATGACGGCTACTGAACCACTAATAATAGTGCATCTTTTTGCAAATCCACAATGCTTTGTTATCTCTTCATTGATCACTTACATTAATCAATTTAGAAAACATTACGTAGAAACAATATCTACAAAGAGAGTACTGTATTGAATAAGAAAAATATTTCAAACACCTAATTTATCACTCTTAAAAATTACCTCTAATGATATGTTTGACAAGTATCAAATTTTAAACATTCCATCATGTGGGATCTAACCTCAATACCATATCATTAGAGGTAATAAACTATGGGGATGTCGCATTATTGATTAAATAATAAAGAGAGTTTTGTATTAAATAATAATGCTACATATCTACAAAAATTAAAAATGTATGAAGTATTGTCAACACAACATTCTCAATTTATTAAAAAAAGAAAGTACATACTATTTTCCAATAATAAAATTAAGGAATAAAAATGAAAAAAAAAAAAACTTTGCTTAGGGAGATGGTAAGCATCCAAGTTGAGTTGAGTTGGGGATGCCTTTTAACAAAGAGAGGGAAACAAAACGATAAAAGACAGCTTATCTCCACATGCATTATCTCCACATGCACTATCCTTTGTTTAATTTTATTTAAGCACTATAACAAGTTTTCTTGTTAAGTTTCTTCATAGAGAAACCCAATTGTGAAGTTCCTTCTAATCCTCACCAGGTTCTCTCTCTCTCTCTCTCTGTCTCTGTCTCTCTCTCTCTCTCTCTCGTTAGTTGTGCTACCTTCATTTTGTTCTTCCCCTTAGATTTTTGTTTTAGAGTTCTGTCTTGATCTTTTTCTTGATACTTTTAACAGCAAATACTTTCATGATAAGCTGGATATTACAGTTCTCCATATTCTTTCATATAAGGTGTTAAATAGCAGTATGGTATCGAGCAATATGTATTTAGAATCTGAGTTAGCCTTTTGCACCTCACTAAGAGATTAACGGTTCAAATCTCTCCACTCGCATATAGTTCTTATTTCTTATATATTTATTGGGGGTTTTCATTATCATATATGAATCAAAAGTTGATTGCCGTTATAATATTTGTTAATTGACTTAAAATTTTGTCTGGAAATTTAGTGGCCTCAGAATAAAGAGCCCATGGCTAGTGAGGCACCAAGCTGGGCAGATCAATGGGGTGCCGGAGGCATCGGTGCCATGGAAGACGAAGATGATAACACCAAAACCAATAAAGCAAAAGGCGGTAACAAGAAGATGACAATGGTCTCAGCCGGACTTGGAAAAGCCAAAGCAGTAGCCAAGGCAGGAGCACAGAACGTCAAGAGTGGAACTTCCATGGCAATCAGCTGGATCAAGAACAAATGCCAAAAGAACAAGAATGCAAATGAATAGATCATATAATGTTTACTGACTACTGAAATTTAATGTAAAAATAACTAGTTGTTGATGGCAGTAGTTGCCTAGTAAGATCCTGTGTTTAGTTCGAAAATATTCATAGCTTTTATATTGTTTTCATTTGTGTAATTTTTTTTTTTTATAACAAATTTAACAAATAACCTTTTAATGTTTCTTAGAAGGTAAATTGTTTTCAGAAAATTTTTCATCAAAATCAGTTTAAGATTTGTTAACCAAAAAATGAAAATGCCCATAGTTTTTATAATGTATTCATTTATGTGCAAAACAACTTTTAAAAACTACCCAAACAAAATTTTAACCTCTATTTGGTGGAGTAAGTTTTCAAAACGGTTTCTTGAAAATTTTTCAAAATCTAGTTTGGTAAGAAAAATGAAAAACAATAAAATTTAAAAGCACCATGTTATTTTCATATGGTTCACTCTTTTTTAAGGAAGAAATAATTTTTGAAAACCTATCAAAACATTTTTGCTTCTGAAATAAGGAAATCCAAAATCATTATGAAACATGCATGCATAAGGGAGACAGCAAGCAATACTTGGCAACAAATGCATAATACCATAATGCCAAACCAAACCAAGCCAAACCAAGCCAAACCTCAAGTGTTAACAACTCCGTCGGGATTGTTAACAACTTCGCCGGTCCCAAGTCCGGGTTAAGGAGGAGAGTTGTGCATTAGGTAACCGACAACTAACACGTAAAAAAGCCACTCAGATCTCTTGTGACAATAATACCATAATGACAAATTACTTAAAATTCAATTTCATCCATTTCAAGTCCAATCATCAAATCTCTTTTCAACATCAAATTTTCCAATAAACCGAGACTAAAACCAGAAAGGGAGGTCGGGCTGTTAACTTAAAAAAAGAACAAATAGCTGAGAATTTACACTTGGGAAGAGTTTATTTACACAGATTGTGTTTGGATGGACCCAAATGTGTTCTCGCCGCTGTAAGTCATGTAAAGAAACCCATCTTCATCCTGGTTTTCCTCGTAAATTGAAGACATCAAGGCAGCTGAAAAAAAAAAAAAAAAAAATGATAAATTAATGACTTACTATTTCTATATCAATAAATAATCAAAAGAAAGAAAGAAATTCTAGTCACCGGTGGGAGGTAGTGTGTTCTTGACAAAGATAAATATAGCCTTCTCAGCACTGAGCTTAATCCTCTTCCGGACAACATAAACGAATTGCCCAACTGTCAAATCAGCAGGGACAAGATATCTGCTTTCATGACAAATGAGAGATTATATGTAACATATTTAAACCATTCGATCCACTCTCCATTGACACATAAATCTCTGGCTTTAGGTGCCAAATTTATATCAGCAAGGCCAAGAATAAATTGCGCTTCAGCAGGGGTAATTACACCATCTTCTTTACTGATGATCTAACACTTATTTGAAGAAAGCTCAAAAGTTCTACCAGTATATATGAAGCATGGATACAGACACGGATACAAATATAAATAAGGACACAACAGTATCATAAAATCTAAAAAAAAATAAAGACACGGATATAGCCAAGATACGTTGAAAAAAATTATAGGATTATATTATACAGGAGCTCAAAGAATAGTGAGAAACCATTCTTCAAGAATTAAATATTAGTTTAAGAGCAAACAGTCCGTTTACTTCTTTTTATTTTTTTATTTTTTATTTTTGGAGGATACATTAATTTGATAAAATCTGAAAAAGTAAGGGACTTCTTTAATCTCACTATTTTCTTCTTTGGCAAGAAAACAAGAAAATATTGGAAAAACTATTCTTGTATTTATTTTAACAATTATACTCCAATACAATATGCAAAACTTAACAATTTCAATTTCAATTTCAATTTCATAATAGTTTGGATATTCGCAAGTATTTGAAGAGTATCGATATCCAATACAGATACGACTACCTCTTAGACGTATTCATGCTTCATCAAATTCTAGAAGAGTTCATAATATGCAGCCAAGAATCTAGAATCACTAAGAATAAAGGTTAGATAATGAAATGAAAACCCCATAGTACAATATGATTTTAGGCTCAACTAAACACTACACAGTTATAAATAATGTGATATTCACCTATGCTGTCATCCAAATTAGAAAGTACAAACAAGAAAGAAATTTCCTACCCTTAACACTGAAAAACTGACAAGGAAAAGAGAAATTAAACTCTTATGTCTCAGGCAAGATTATAAAAAGCGACCGCAACTATTACATAATAGTCGTGGTCGTTACCACCACTCGTTACAGACGTTATAGTAGCGTGATAGAAATTCACAACCGTAACGACCGCAGCTGTTACTTAATGGCCGTAACATACATTGCCTCTACAATACCGTTACAACTGTTGCGCTTCTATTTTTTTTTTAAATATTAAATTTTGTATATAATACTATTTTCTCTTTTTATTTTCTAGTTACATAAAAACTTAAATAGAAATCTTATCTATAAATGTTTTGAATGTCCAATCTTCAAGTTTTTCAAGATTTTAATACATTTTCGCTTAATCATATTTGAATATAAATTATTGAACAAAATTTAAATTTCATATTATGTACTTTTACATTATTATGTTGACATTTTATATTTTGAACTTTTGTTTATGAGACTATTATTTTTAATATTAAACATACTTCATTTTTTTCTTAACAAATTGAAAGTTATCCATAGGTATAATTAGGCCTTGTTTGACATTCCCTAAAAAAATCAAAAAATCAAAAAGTCAAAAAGTCACGATCTTATTTAAGTCACATCATCTCTCTACCACATCAAACCCAACCCATAACCAAACCATATTTCATAAAAAGTCAAAAAGTGCACTTATTTGGAACATCCCAAATAACTTTTAATAAAGTAATTAAAATTAAATAAATCCAACAACAGGAAAATTTTCCACAACTTAAAACTAACATAAAAATTAGTATATTTATTGGATCAAGTTTTAAAACTAAACAAAAATATTAAAAATCATTTTGAATCGCACTAAATGTGATTCTGAAATAAAAACATGCATATCGGTATGTTTTCATAAAGTTGTGCAAAGAATTAAAAAATTCATAATTCCGGTTGCCACTGCCATTACGCTACGGCTAGTATATTCTGCAACCGCGTCAATGCTACCATTACCGTTACGGTAACCACTACCGTTATTTAAAACCTTGGTTTAGGTCAATAAAGTACAGCGCACATACGAAATAAATAAAACACCCTGGTAACACTTCGCTAAAATGTAGTCAATTGATAGAAATGATTGTATTAATTAATATGTTAAAAGCTAACAATCCAAAAACAACAACTTCTGTAGCAAGTACCAAGTACCAACATACAAAGGGGCAACATAAATATCGAATATTGATACATGGAGACTAGGACAAAGAAGCTGAATAATAATTTAAACAGAAGTATATAAATAATGAGCAATAACTACTATTAAAAATAGTTACAAAGGCAGATGCAACATACTTTTTCTTATCAATGTCAGGAATGTCACTCCTTTCAACCTTCTCCACAATTACCTATAGAAGATTCTCGATTGTCAGAGGCAAATATTATAGCAGTAGCTCATCTGTAGTGTAGTGAGTTGTGGCTACCGTTTATTTACAAGAAAAAAAAATCTTACTGGTATTCTCTCCGGATACTTCTCTCGAATGCGAGTAGACTCTGCCTGCCTCCTCTCTGAAACGCAGAAAAATAAATTTCTTAACAAGAAACAGACAATAAATGCAAAGCGAACAGGAAAACTTTAGACTGTCTTCAAAGAATAGTGTGAGGCCTAGTGTGGCTGCTTATCTTGAGAGAAGTGCAAAGAACAGTAATGTGACTGCCTTCAAAAACTTGATCATTTTAGACCTATGTTACTTGGAACGTGGATTGTTTCAGTATGTGGAATGGTATTGGGAATGTGATATGATGGGAGTAGACTTGTTTAGATTACAATATTAGAATTTAAGCTACTTCAAGAAAAAATTTATTTCAGCAATTAAGTGTCCAATAAAATGATGCCTTTCCTTTTCAAATTAACGACGTGCATAACCATTTACCAAAACAACAAACAAAAGCTATGCCCATCATTCTCCATGCATAGACCTATATACAATAATTCAAAAATTAAGGCTATTACAAAAAGCATGACTAGAACATCAGCTAGGAACTTTCCCACGAAAGATACTATGGCAATTGCATACAAATCATGAAAAAACAGAAATAGTGTGAGGCCTACTGCATGAAGCAAGGACCAACACGATCAGCGACCACATGGATTTCTGAAAGAATGGATGTGGCATTGTTCTATGTCAAAATTAAGTTATAAAAAAACGCAAACCACAAAATGCTTCCATGGCCTATAAAAACAGTCAATCGCACAATTCATTCTCATCCACACTCAGACAAATGAGAAAAGACGCATATAATTAATACAACTAAAAAATATATCTATGTAATTATATAAAGCACACAACTCATGTGAACCTTTGTAACATAATTTTGATTCCCAAAGGAACACACCAACATTATATTTTTCCCACACAATTACCTTTGCTTAACAGTTACTGTAAGGATTAAGAAGTAAAATAAACTGCTGCCCACTAGTCAACACAGAATCTTTCTCTTCACTATTACCCACCCATGATCTCCATATTGACAATTTCAATTGCAAATGTAGCATGCTTAGCCTTCCGGTATATATATGTTACTTAAAGCACCTCAGGACTTGAACCCTTGGGTTACAGTAAACTCATCTCAGCAAATAAAATTCACCAAAAAGCTTCTAGAGCTTGACTAAAAATCATCACATTTGATGGTCAGTGTATGCAAACTTTATTATCCAAATTGAACTATAAATAAGATATACCAAATGAAGTGCTACAAAGAATTACCACACATCTTTCAAATTCAGCAGTCATAGGTAAAGCAAAACCAAAACTCCTCCAACAAAAAGGCCTAAACTTCATGAGCAATCCACACCAATAACCAACAGCAAAATTCAAAGAAATTTCATGACTGAATTTCACAGAAATCATAACGGACACCAAACAGTTTCAACACAACAAGTCATAAATCTCAAGAAATCACAGAGATCCCTGTACCATAATCAGTCATCAAAGCAGATAATCAAATCATGCCCAAATCCATTCAAGATCACAACTTTGAAAAAATTTCAAAGAAATACATACAATAAAAAAATAGGCATAGACAAAAAGGAGAAGAAAAACAAACCCAAAGGGTTATCAAGTTTGAAGGAGCTTTTGGCCATGGCAAGACTTCGATTGCTCTCTGCAAAGTTCAAACATCCAAACAACATTACACCCACCACCACAAAACCCTTCTCACCAACTACACACACACACACACACATACACATATATACTACTATACAAATAGAATTAAATGAATACCCATTCTAGAAAATAACAGAATTAAGCGAGAAGAGAAAACAAACAAGTAACGTAAAAGGGTTTTCTTTCTAGAATAGAAACAATTACCAAAAGACGAAAGGCAAAAGATATCGAATTGACGAATTGGGTTTTTGCAGATTGTGATTGATTGATTGATTGATCCAAAGATTGCGAAAGGTTTTAAATGTCAAAGTCAAGAGAGAGAAAAGAATTGAGTGAGTGTCAAGATTACTGTCATTTAATGTAGAAAAATTGGGTGTTTAAGAAGCGAAAGCTGATTAGGGTTTTTGATTCCAACACGACATCGGAGAGAGAGAGGTTTGGGGTTTGCCCTACTCCACAAGAAAAGTCTAAAAATCGATTCCGCTTACGCGAAGACAACGGAGAAGGAGCCTGGTACGACGACGTTTGGTTGCTGTATATGCTAACCACATCCACTTTGGCCTGTCTTGGAACTTGGAAGTTTGGAAGTATTTTTTTTTTTCAAAAATGCTAGAGGTCCCAAAAATTCTACCAAAAGTTTTACCAAATGTTTCATATGGGTGTGGGACCTACATGGGACCCACATTGTGTGGGTCCCACACCCATGTGAGACATTTGGTAAAACTTTTGGTAGAATATTTGGGATCTTTTAGATCCTATCACATTTTTATTTTTTTTATAGGGAGCTTTTTTTTAATAAATTCACTTTTTAAGATTTTTATTTCATCTAACTTATATTTTTTTTTGACCATTTCATTAGGTTTTATTTGAGGTAAGAAGACCAAAATATCATTTTCATCTACTTATGTTCCATTTAGTTCACATTATTTTCTTATATTTCAATAAGTCCTATGGGTGACATAATTACCAAAATATCCATAATGTGAATGTTCACACCGTCAATGTGAATGTTCATATTGTCAATGTGTAGGGGCCCGGCCCATGTCGATCCTCGTGGGTGCCCGAAAAAGTTCGAGTCGGGCCGGGTGTGAATATTCACATTGACATGTTAACATTTACATTAATAAGAGTGTAAAATTGACCCGCGTCCCGTGGCGGCGCGAAACGTACCCACGGCCCATGGCCGGCCCGGGGCGGCCCGTTGACAATGTAAATATTCACATTGACATGTTAGCATTCACATTGATAAAAGTATAAAATTAGCCCGTGCCCCGTGGCTGCTCGAAACTAGCCCACGGCCCGTGGGCGGCCCGGGGTGGGCCCAGCCCGGCCTATTGACAATGTGAATATTCACATTGACATGTTAACATTCACATTGATAAAAGTATAAAATTAGCCCGCGCCCCGTGGCTGCCCGAAACCAGCCCACGGCCTGTTGACAATGTGAATATTCACATTGACATCGGGCCGGGCCAATTTTATACTCTTATCAATGTGAATGTTAACATGTCAATGTGAATATTCACATTGTCAACGGGCCGGGCCAATTTTATACTCTTATCAATGTGAATGTTAACATGTCAATGTGAATATTCACATTGTCAACGGGCCGGGCCAATTTTATACTCTTATCAATGTGAATAATGTGAATGTTCACACCGTCAATGTGAATGTTCATACCGTCAATGTGAATGTTCATATCGTCAATGTGTAGGGGCCCAGCCCATGTCGATCCTCGTAGGTGCCTAGAAAAATTCGAGTCGGGCCGGGGTGAGCCCAGCCCATTGACAATGTGAATATTCACATTGACATACTAACATTCACATTAATAAGAGTGTAAAATTGGTCCGCGTCCTGTGGCGGCGCGAAACCTGTCCACGGCCCATGGCCGCGTCCCGTGGCGGCGCGAAACCTGCCCACGGCCCATGGCCGGCCCGGGGCGGCCCGTTGACAATGTGAATATTCACATTGACATGTTAGCATTCACATTGATAAGAGTATAAAATTGGCCCGCGACCCATGGGCAACCAAAAACCCACCCGCGGCGCCAGGCAAGTCCGGCCCGACCCGGCCCAACCCGTTGACAATGTGAATAATCATATTGACATGTTAACATTCACATTGTTAGGAGTTTAAAATTAGCCCGCGCCTCGTAGTTGCCCAAAACTCGTCCACGGCCCATGGGCTGCCCGGGGCGGGCCCGACTCGGCCTGTTGACAGTGTGAATATTCACATTAACATGTTATGTGAATATTCACATTGATAAGAGTATAAAATTGGCCCGGCCCGTTGACAATGTGAATATTCACATTGACATGTTAACATTCACATTAATAGGAGTGTAAAATTAGCCCGCGTCTCGTAGCGGCACGAAACCCGCCCATGGCCCATGGGCGGCCCAAGGCGGGCCCGGGGCGTCCTGTTGACAATGTGAATATTCACATTGACATGTTTATCATTCACATTGATAAGAGTATAAAATTGGCCCGCGGCCCATGAGCAGCCAAAAGCCCGCCCACGACCCCGGAGGGGCCCGGCCCGTTGACAATGTGAATATTCACATTGACATATTAACATTCACATTGATAGGAGTTTAAAATTAGCCCGCGCCTCGTGGCTGCCCGTGGGCGGCCCGGAGCGGGCCCGGCCCAGTCTGTTGATAATGTGAATATTCACATTGACATGTTAACATTTACATTGATAAGAGTGTAAAATTGGCCCGCACCCTGTAGGCGGCCCAAAGCCCTACTGCAGCCCGAGGCGGGCTTGGCCCGACCCGTGACAATGTGAATATTCATATTGACATGTTAACATTAATACTGATAGGAGTGTAAAATTTGCCCACTACCCGAAGCTTTCCTGCGGCCCAAGGTAGGCCCGGCCCGGCCCGTTCACAATGTGAATAGTTACATTGACATGTTAACATGCACATTGATAGGAATATAGAATTGGCCCGCGGCTCGTGGGCTGCCCGAAGCCCGCCCACGGCCCGGGGCAAGTTCGTTTGGGTCCGGGCCTGAGCATGTCTGAGACCCTAGGCTAGGGCCTAGGCCATTACTTTGAAGCCCAGCCCAGGCCATTAGCCTGCTTAAGACCCATTCAAGGCTTGGTCCGAGGCCCAGCCCGCTCGAGGCACAATGTCTTTTTTTGTGAAAAATAATAAAATTTTGGTAAAAAAAATAAAAAGAATTAAAAAAAAATGGCCAGGCCCGCCCAAGCCCGACCTAAGCTCGAGGCTAGGCCTAGGCCCACCGGCCCGACCCGAGGCTCGATCCATCAGCCCGTCCAAAGCCCGAATACCCTTGTGCCAGGGCTAGGGTCTGGGCCTAATTTTTTCGCCCGTGGGTCGGGCCGGGCCGGGCCGGGTCGGATTTTTTCAGACACCCACGAGGCTCGATATGCGCCGGCCCGGGCCTCTACACATTGATGATATGAACATTCACATTGACGATGTGAACATTCACATTATGGGTATTTTGGTAATTATGTCTCTCCATAGGACTTATTGAAACATAAGAAAATAATGTGGACTAAATAGAATATAAGTAGATGAAAATGGTATTTTGGTCTTCTTACCTCAAATAGGATTTAATGAAATAGTCAAAAAGAACGTAGGCTGTCTGAAGCCCGCCCGCGGCCCGGGAAAGGCTTGTTTGGGCCTGGGCTCGAGCCTAGTCCGAGACCCTAAGCTAGGGCCTAGGCCATCACTTTGAAGCCCGGCCCGGCCCATCGGCCCGGTTAAGGCCCATTCAAGGCTCGGTCCGAGGCCTGGTCCGCGTCGAGGCCTAGTGTCTTTTTTTGTAGAAAATAATAAAATTTTGGTAGAAAAAATTAAAAAGAATTAAAAAAAAATGGCCAGGCCCGCCCAAGCCCGACCCAAGCCTGAGGCTAGAGGCCCAGGCCCATCGGCCCGACCCAAGGCTCGACCCACCTGCTCAGGCCCGGACCCAAAAGAGCCTGCCCCGGGCCGTGGGCAGGCTTCGGGCAGCCCACGGGCCGCGGGCCAATTATACATTCCTATCAATGTGCATGTTAACATGCCAATGTGAATATTCACATTGTCAACGGGCTAGGCCGGGCCTACCCCGGGCCGCGGGCAAGCTTCGGACAGCGGGCAAATTTTACACTCCTATCAATGTTAATGTTAACATGTCAATGTGAATATTCACAATATCACAGGTCGGGCCAAGCCCGCACGGTCGAACTTCGGGCCGCCCACGGGCTGCGGGCCAATTTTACACTCTTTTCAATGTGAATGTTAACATGTCAATGTGAATATTCACATTGTCAACGGGCCGGGTCGGGCCCGCCCTGGGTTGCTAGCCAATTTTATACTCTTATCAATGTGAATGTTAACATATCAATGTGAATATTCACATTGTTAACAGGCCGGGCCGGGCCTGCCCCGGGCCGCCTACGGGCCGTGGCGCGGGTTTCGGGCAGCCACGGGGCTCGGGCTAATTTTATACTCTTATCAATATGAATGTTAACATGTCAATGTGAATATTTACATTGTCAACGGGCCGAGCCGGGCTCGCCTCAAGCCTCTCATGGGCTGCGGGCGGGTTTCGTCCCGCCACGAGACGCTGGCCAATTTTACACTCCTATTAATGTGAATATTCACATTGTCAACGGGCTGGGACCGCCTCGACTTGCGGGCGGATTTCGGGCCGCCCACGGGCCAATTTTACATTCTTACCAATGTAAATTTTAAAATATGAATGTTCACATTATAAAATTGCTAACCGTTCAAAAAATATTTATAAGGGTATCAAAATTAAATATAAGGGCATAAGTGTCTAAGAAAATAGTGTAAATCAAGAAAAATGACTTTATGGAATAAAACTATACATACATAGGACTAAATGGGTTAAAAAATTCCTTCATGGACTTCTTAGGTTAAAACACTTCTAAATGGGATTTATCAATAATTTTCCCTTTTTTATATGTTTTATTAAAAAAAGTAAAAAAAAAAAAAAGTTAATTACTTTCCAAAACAAACCTTAGGGTAAATTACAAATAATTGTTTGGAAATTAATTATTTAATTGAATTTTTAATTTTTTATGACAAAATGTGTAAAAAAAAATAGAGGTGAATTAACAATTTTTAGTGATATCAAAAATATATTTCAATTAATAATTCAGATGATTTTATTATTGTATAAGTGAATATTTAGGATTTTTTTTAATTACTTATGCTAAATAAAAAAAATCTTAAAAGGGAGTATTTGTAAATTTTCAAACTATAGGAGACAATCTGTATTTTAAGCAAATCTCAATAAATGTAAGCATTTTAAGTAATTTTAAAGAGTGTATTTATAATTTATCCTTTATATTATGATAAATTGCACTAAACCCACTTGAAGTTTCAAAAAAAAATGTAATAAATACCACAAGTTTTGTATAATTGCATTAATTTTTTTTTAAAATTTTAATTCGCATAACAATTAGCCTTCATTTGGGAAGGAAGGTTTGGGCTAAAATAGACAAATAGGCTATTTTAATCCAATAAGATAAAATATCACATCCAACTTATAATCATTACATTTTTCATCTC